AGGTGAAGTATTTCGTAGAACATTTTATTCCTCTTTCGCTGTTAGTCTTGAGCACTAGTAGGTCTGCAAAAGTTCACGTTTCGTTCCCTGAACGTGAACATTAAAGCACTGGTGAATGTGAGCTTTTTTTATACGAGCGACGTTCATATCGCCTGAAGTAAATATAAACTTCTGTTCTTGTAGTGTAGTAAGAACATATATATTTCTGCTTGGCTTATCTGATCAATAGAAACTCTAGTGAAAGATCAGATGTTCTGCTCAGAACAGTGACCCGATTATTGCAATGTAAAAAGTATACCCCTTGATTCTCTGATCAAGACATTGATTCTTCCAAGAACAGATCGCGGATTTTCTGACCAGAAGACTAGTTTTTCCCGCACTAGAACCGAAGTTCCTTGGTCCAAACCATTACAGTAACTACGTACGTTTTCCTTTGTTATCCTAACCCGTTTGGGACAAACGAGCGTTGATTTTTCACTAAATATAACTAGTAATGGAGAAAGTTGTTGCACTCAGTATACTACCAGATGAAATTGCTATATAATGTTTTACAATACTATTCATTCCACATAAGATCAACACCGTTCATATAAAATAACGTTAACGTTCACCAGAACATTTGCATTCAGGTTCAAAAAATGTCATGTTCAGCGTTCATGTTCAAGGAACGCCAACGTACTTTAGCGTTACGTTCAAAGAGAACGCTACAGGAACGGAACGCTGAACTTTTGCAGGCCTAAGCACTAGTTGTCGAAACAAATCAACGCTAATACTTCAAGTCCATCAAAAAACCTACAAGTCTGGACTTGGTCTTGTCCACCTCTGTCTGCACTGGACTTTTGACGATTCTATAAGAAAACAATCACGGTTCTGTCAGGTTTAAAAACGTCCCTGTCAACAAAAAAACGTTTTCCTTCTACGGGAATGCATTAGATATTCCCATCCACCTCTAGTGTACAACAAACAGTATACAAATTTCTTTTGCAGAAAACATTTTCATTAATTAGACGGAATAGTTGTAACAATGTTTACAATTGATAGAAAAGAATGAAAAAAAATTATTATTATTTCCGAAAGTTGAAAATAGTTTTCCATCTTCCGATAAGTCTGCAACAGTTTCATTTGATATATTTTAATTTTGCAATTCCTAGACACAAGGAAAAACCATGCATGTACTGCTGAATAATAAAAAATTGACAAAAAAAAAAAAGAGAAAATAAAAGAAAAAAGTAATATTTAACAACTAACAAAAAACCAAGAAAATATCATAGACACACAGAAGAGAAAAATATTTTATCAAGACAAAATATCAACTTCGATATCTTCATCACACCTTGTCAATTCCATCACTTCATGTTTTAGGAACAATCCCGATTTCTGTTCTTTAAGTGCTTGTCGCTGTTCTTTACGTTGACGTAAACGTAGAATTTTCTCAATTCGTTTCATTGGATCTTGTTGGCTATTTGTACCACCTGAATTTGCTGATGATGATTTATTTGATAGACTATTCGTTTCAGATAACGTATCTTGCCTTGTATTACAAGAATAATCATTAAATGTCTCAACATTAAACTTGATAATGTTTCGTATACGTCGATATTTTTCATCATTCATTGACTGAAAATCGAGAATAAATTCAGTTTGATTCTTCTGAATTTGAACACCGTCCGGCTGCAATATACGAATAATCTCCAATTGTTCACGGCGTCCTAAATGTTAAGAATAATTAAAACTCTCTCTTTCTCTCTCTCGTACATCTATTATCTCAAAAATTAAATTACCTAATTGTTCATTAATAATCGTTGTTAACTCGGTGATGATACGCGACTGTTCATCAAGCGACATTTTTGCCCATGTTTTCGTTGTTGATGAACGCTGTTTTTTTCTCACTTGTTTTGGACTTGGTGGAGCACTTCGACTAGGACGAGACGTATTAGATGTAGCATCTCCCGTCATTTGCTGTTGTTGTACTGTTGATAAAGTTGTCTCAAGTAAAACTGGCTGATTTAGTTGCTGTAACTGTAATGGTATACTATTCTGAAATGTTTGCGTAGGAAAATCAAAAAAAGATGAATAATTAATCAACGATTTTGTATCACTATTTGTCACGTATGGATCCAGACAATCGGATAGATCGTAGTCAAGAAAGTCAGAAATATTTGAATTGATAAAATCAGCTTCGATACCTTAAAAAAAAAGTAATTTATCTAAACAAAATTGTACAAAATAAAAACAATTTAAAAAGTATTTACCTAGAAACATATCGTCAATCGTATTACTATTTGTTGTACCATTTCTCATATCTCCCAAATATAAATCATCTGAACATTCTGATAGTGTTCGTCGATTAATAAGCGATTGTAATGTTGTTAAATCCGGTTGAGAATTTGAACGTGACATGCCCACAGCAGTCAAATTTAAAATATCATTATCAAGAAAATTTTCCATAGATTTTGTTGGATCAGTAATGTAAGAAGATAGATGACTAGTCATAGTGGAAGATGAAGTAGAAGTAGAATGATGATTAGATGTAGACATCCATGGACTTATACTCGATGATATAATATTATGATTGTTGTGGTTCAAACCGTTGCCTATCCAAGAGGAGACAGGCAACATCATTTGATTTTTCTACAAAGAAATAAAAAAAAAATTTTAGAAAAATAATCTACGATAGAATCAATTCAAAACATGTAGATTATTAAGAAAAATAAAAATATTAAATGGAAATTTCTTTATTTTTAATAATTAAATCAAAAAATAAAAGAGAAAATGAAATTTTTAATTTAAACAATAAACGATCTTTCCATTTGGAAATAAAATATTAATATGATAAAAAATGTCCGTTTAGATCTGAAATCATTTGAACATACGATGAATGCTGACTATTAACAATATACTTGAAGAATGAGTGTATTAGACCGTAATTTGAAGAGACATTATTAAATAAAATTTCTTAAATTTCAAAAACTACGACTTGCTGTTTTTCATGCGAACATAAAATGTCATCTTTCGTATGATTAAATACGTATATGACATGATGGTCTTGTTTAAACATGTGAACCAGCATCCGAATGAGAATTAAATACGGTTAAACAAATTAATGAATAAATCAGTCGCTGTTTCAACCTTTCCATAATTCTATTTGTCAATCTTTTCTGGATGCTAGTAAATATTTTACATTTTTTGTTAATCGTACACACTAAACTTCTTTATCTTCAAGTTTATTTTCAAACATGTTCACACAACAATTTCGTTATGATGCCCCTTATGTTGAAAGTACTTCTTTTTGACGACATGGTAAATATTCTATTATTAAATTCTTCGAATGTTGTTCTTGTCGTTCAGCTGAGACAAACATCTATCTGTTATCAATGAACAAACGTATTTCAAGTACTGAATACTAACTAATCATTTAAGAAGATCAATGAGTAATAGAAAGTTGCTTGAACGAGCAGGTATCGTGTCTTACTTTACGAATGAAAATCGTGGTATCAAATCTGCTTAACGTGTGACATTATTTAAAATGATTTTTTTTTTTCGTCGTTGATTTAGCATATTGAAAATATTTAATTGCACAATCTCTTGTGCACTACAATATGGATGAAAACTAAGATTTGTCACTTTATCTGCCCTATTGTATAAATATTGAATTGTTGTTCTAATTCTATTTATTATTTCTATTAATCCATAAACATCTGATATTTTAATCGACGCATGTACTGATTTGATTCGATAGAATACAAAAAATATGAGCGTTGACATTGGATACTTCGTATTGAGATAGTATTGGAACTGAAAACTAATCAATCTAATTTATAATCAAAGATTCAAATCTATACATACCAAACATACTGGTTTTTATCTCAAATTTTAATGGCACTCTCATCAATACTTTAGTAACAATTGATGTTGTTCTTAAACTTTCAATTTCTCCCTTTAAACTTTAATTTGAAACGAACAATATGGATTAAACAATTTGGTCGAGAATACATTGATACTTTAGGAATAAAAGTAGAATAATTAGACACAAACAAAGAAAGTAATACTAAGAATTTTCACATCAAACATTTTTTGGAACATACCTGCATTTAATTGATTCATGATCGTTCAAAGTGATGACGTCGATTTACAAAGAATTGACTCAAAATAAATCGGTACAATTTCACTATGTCTGAGAGAAACACTGGTAGAAGTTGGCTCACTATGACTCATTTTATTTAAATCTAGAACCAACAAAACGAATATTTGAGTAATGCATGATAAAATTTCATCTATAGATACTTTCGATCGAATTGTCTGCAAAAGCCAGACTTTTTCATCAACAAAAAGAGTTGAGTGTATACTTTGATCTGAAAACTTTAGGCATGTCTGACTACAAGGGAAGCAAACGAAAAATGATCACTAGATAGATTAAATGGCAGATGGAATTAGTAATTACTAAACATAATAAATAACATGGAATATTTACAATCGTAAGTAAGTAAGTAAGATTTTAAGAGTAAGATTGTTTATTCACGAAAAGTGAGAGTCATCAAAGGTCACCGACCTGTAGTAACAATGACTCAAGCCAAACAACACCAAAATAGTAATAAAAGAAATAACAAAATAAGGAAGACAACTATTACGGTCTAATTTGCAAATAAAATCTCCGTTAAGCCATGGAATCACTTCAACAAGTAGATTTTCAAAAAAAAAGAAGAAATACTAAAATCTGAAAAATTGGCTACAGTAGTATTATTTGACAATAATGCATACTTTCTTCAACCTAATCACATCAACTAGAGGTTCAAAATCTACCAGTGTCCGTGTATACTGTACGTAGGAAACTTTCCAACAGAACAGAAATATGGAACTTGTAAATCTTTTCAGCTGGTAAAAAAAGAGCTAACCGTCAAATTAATCAGTTTCTTCCAATTAAACGGATTAAGTTGTCAGCTTTTAGCGAATCGAAAGGCGATTTTTGAAAACAAGAACTTCATGGATTAGTTTTTCTCATTGAAAAGTTTTTTTACTAGTTTAGAAAGTAACGTATTCTCTTTCACACGGTACCACATTTCTCCTATCCTGGATTCGCTCTACGTGTTTTTGAGCTCAAAGAATCAGTCATAAATGAAGTCATGGATTAATAACACTAGTAGTTTTAGAAAAAAAGCAGAGCTATCAGGAAAAACATAACATAGATATGGGATTTGTAAATTTCGAATAACATCATATTTTTTCATATCCTTTGCTGTGTGGACAGATAAACAATATAATAAACTATTTTTTTCGTCAAGGGAACTAGAAAAACAATCAGATGAACATAACTGATAACAGACTTTCAGAAAATATAATATTTTATTTATCATGTGAATAAAATAAGTTTATACGTCAGTTTCTATTTTGCACATGGCAGATTTTCTCTGACAGGCGATTGGCCAACTCTTTTAACGATTCTAAAACTGTGTTTTTACCTTAACAGAACGTCGAATTTTATGTTTTTGAAGATGACGCTAAAATTCGGAAGACTGTAACGACTACACGCTCACTGATTGGAATCTATATGAAAGATCAGAAAGGATAGTATTAATATATTAAAATAAATAAAGGATAAAAGTTACATTATTTTAATGTAACTGCGTAACAATAAACAACTTGAGCACATTATTTTTTTACAGTTAATTGAAAGTATGTTTATAATGATTGTCTCATTGCGATTTTTAATATCGTTTGGACTGTACAAAGAGAATTATGTTTCTATAATTTGATAGATGTGCTGAAGAATAAAACAAGCTTCTGATGATTTCAGTAATGGATGGGTTTAATTTAATTTAGCCATGCACAAAATATGGTTAACCATCATAGCCGTAACCTTAACTAACCGGTCGAACGATTAATGTAGGATGCTTATACCAGTGTTTTTAACTCGATGGTTTATGTGTAAATGAAATATGTCAGCCTGGCGAAGTCATTGTTGTTATGTCATGTTTGGAACACATGAATAAAGTTTTCTACAAGTGCTCTGGTATATACACAAAAGACAAGCTGTGAATAGTAGCAGCGAGATTTAAGGTCTTTTAAAGGACCAGTTAGTAGTTAGCCCTTCGACCGATTATACACGATTACCGTTATCGGTAAATAATCGTAACCGGTGCGTGCCTGATTTAATCTGGTACAATTGCTTACTGTCTGACATGCCAAAAACGCGGAAACTTCAAACATTGTTGTTTCAAGAAGAAGAATATCCCGACTTGGCTACTATTACCAAGTAGGGTGCTGACAAGAGTTTCAATAGTTCAATATTTTCCCTATCGCTAACAAGCTTCTGACGTGGTCACCCATATCGTTACCAGAGATCCGCAAGAGCAAGGCTGCAAAATGTTTACCTGCAGTCGGATCGGACTTGAGCCCCAAATTTTTTTTTTTGATTACATAGCAGAAGAAGCAGTCTAATCCGCCTAGTGGCATTTTATAACAGAGCTGGGCAAATCAGGGCTTTTTTAAGTCAGCGAAAACATTCTCCAAGTCAAGCCGCTACCGAAGGTTAAAAAAAATAGTTTCTCAATACTAAAAAACATGAGAGCGAAAAAACACATAAAAGAAATCCCTGTAAAACAGAAAAAATGGTGAAGATTACACTAAACGATGAAATAGCCATGATTACGCCGTAGCAGTAGATAGTCATGTAAAGAAAAGTTTGAATTAGAGCAGCAATTTCATGCAAAATGCTTTACCTCACCATACAAATAAAGTAGACAGAAAGTTGCAGCCCTAATTCAAATGTATCTTTATAACGTTTATGGTATTTTGCTCTAATAGTTCCTCAATATCTCCGACGAGAAAACTATAAACTATTTTATTTGCAATCTTCGTCAGAACACGTTCGGTCGCATCAAGTTTCCAGACCGAACATGTTCAGTAGCGAGCCGTCCGGTCACCAAACTATCGGATCGGTGCATACCCACTCGTAGTAGAGTAGTCGAATGTTATCAAGCCAGAGCGGTCAAAATTTTTTTCCAAGCCAAGTCAAGTCAGGTCACCAGAAAAAGTTTCTCAATTCAAGTTTGGTTTGACTTGCCCAGCTCTGATTTATAAAGTACTTTGCGTTTAGCAAGCGATCAAGTTGACAAATATACATACGGTTCTTCAAGCATGAGTATATTTCTAAGTCATGCACATACTCAGCCGAGAAGCACTGCTATGAGAGATATGTAATACTTTTTGAAATTGTTTCTTGTGTTGGACCAGAGGTTCGTAATATTGGTGGTGAGACAGATAGATCCCTGAATGATAGATTTTATCGATCGATTGCCCACAACAACAAACGAAAGCAAATTAATAATTGTAGCTATTGATCATGTCACTAAATAGCCAGTTGCTAAGGCTCTTGCTGAAGTAACGTCCAAAAATGTAGCCGAATTTATTTATGATGAAATATTAACGACATTTGGTTGTCCTCTGTCAAT